TCTCTCTCTCTCTCTCTCTCTCTCTCTCTCTCTCTCTCTCTCTCTCTTCATCTCACCATCTCTCTCTATCTCTCTCTCTCTCGCTGTGTGCGTGTGTTCTTTGCTTTAATATGAATTTAATCTGATTGGATTTTACATGTAGCGCATATTTCCTTTAATCTTGCCATAGATAAAACTATCATATTAAGCAGAGCAGACTCTAATGTGATTGTTCTTCTTATTAATGCTATTTGTTGTTAATTTGTTTTTTTGCTAACTTAGCTTTGGCTTGGCTTGGCTTGGCTTGGCTTGGCTTGGCAGACATTTATATGTTTGTTTTTTGTTTCTTTTGAGGTTTTGTGTAATCTGCATACCTGCAGAGCTTTATTGGACAATTAAACGCATTAACGAAAATCTACAACAAAAACTATGCAACGATCATCCAATCATTTAAATGGCAATTTCTGTTAATGCTGGTGCTTGTGCATGTGTTCCGCCTTCCGCCCTCTCTCTTAACTTGAAATCCTCTTTCGATAAAACAAATAATAAGAAAAATAAAAATGAAGTAAAACCACTAACAACAAGATTCCAAGAAAAAAATCCATTACCATTAAATCTACACACAAATTACAACAAAAAAAAAAAAAACAACAGCACAGCAGCGACATTTAAAGTTTTTGCATGAATGGTTTGTTTAATCACAGCATCACAACATCAAAATAGTCGGCCAAACCACCCTTTCGTTATTAAACTGTAATTAACATACTCTTGTATAATGCGCACCGCGTGTTCATTATAGCTTCATTTAGCCCAAGTTTGTCATTTTTGAAATAAAAAATCCGATAAAAACGAGTTGTTTGTATAAGTCACGACCTTGATTTTAAATAAATCCCCAGCATTACGTTTTCAGTCATTAAAGTGTGCCACAATTTTTGACACTTAATATCAAAAGACAACTAATATGTTTATTACAGCATCAACGGAGCATTTCTGCATCTGCGGAGCACAACTGCATAACAATAATGCAATGCAATAATAACAGCAAACAGCAAGCAGCAAGCAGCAAACAGCAAGCAGCAAACGCACTCATTCAATCATATTCGTTTAGTGTCAACTTTTTGGTGTGGCTTTTATGATTTTGTAAGTAAAACAACAAAAAGAAATAAACGCAAGAAATTTCGTTAAGCTTTTCGCTTTTCATACGGTTACCATAAAATTGTTTTATTTGATTGCCTAAAAAATGCTGCGAGACACTTAATGAGAAAAATCATAAAATTCATTCAATCGATTCAAATTAATGCGGACTGACATGGCAAACGAATTCACACTAAAGTCGATCAATATTTTTTAGACTAATTGATGTTATCTTAATTAAAGTCAAACGTGTGCATATAAACCGAACCGGACCAAATATATAATGCAAAAATTAAAAATTTTATTTATTTTTAATTTTTTATTTCATTGCTTCCAAATCTTATCATATTTCATATCTAAAAATATTTTCCCTCACTATGACTCTTTGCAATCATTCCTACCTCGCTCTATCTCTTTTACAAAACCAACGCGATTCTTAAGCCAAAATGTTACATTATATAATTGATTTTAAATGCGTCTCCGGATTATGCAACGAGCGCAAGACAATGTCCCATCCATGTCGCAAAAATGTTTTCTTATAGCTTTGCCTTGGCAGAACACATCATCTTTTCTTTTCATTTATATAGATTTCTTTGGATCGATTGCTTGGATTGGATTCAATTGCAAGCAACACTTATATTATTAGACGCGCAACTTGTCTCACTGCCGCTTATTCTAGCATTTGAGCGAATATCTTCGGAACCTTGTCCGGGATTTGCCCTTCGTCACCTCTTCATCTCTTTGCGAGCAAACTATTCTTCATTGAAACTATTCGAGCAAACTATTCTGCAAGAAAACAAGATGGATAGACGGACAGACAAAACCGATTCAGAAAGTGATTCGAAATCGATCGGTATAATAAGAGATGGGTCCATTTCAAGTCCTTCTGGATATTGCATTCATCCGGACAAACCTACTAGTGATGTCCCATATAATAATCAATGCTTTCAGATTTTTGATGATATGAACGTACCTTTTCGGCGATATAACCGCGAACTTTGCACTTAATGCCGCGAGAGCGAAAAGGGAGCAAAGTGGAAAGTAAAGTGGGAACGAATTTCTATAAAAATAACTATGATTTTCAGAGACAAAGAGACCGACAGACATGGTTAAACTATTTACGTTCGCTTAGCGTGCTATGCTATGCATACATATGAAGTAAAGTTTCTAATTGCGAAACTCTGTCCATTGAAATTGAATTGATTTCGTTATTGATATTTGGCCGCTTATCTACTAGAAATGTTGACTACTTTTGTTCACAATTTTCGTTTATTTGAAATATGAAATGCTGATGCCAATACGTATTATATATGGGACGTCTGATGTACTGTTATGCCATCAGCGAAAATTCTATTCAGCGTTTTCGCGAGCACACCTTTTGTTTTGTTTATTTTTCTTCTGAATATCCTCCGTATAGTGAAAATTGAAATACGAAACTTATTCCGATTATTGATCTGAAGGTTAGCGAAAATAATTTCACTTCTTATTACATCGCAAGGTGCTTGTTACATATATATAAAAGAAAGCAAGTTTTAATTTAGCTTATGATATACTCTACTTACGGACAAGTATTCTACATTTTATCATTCAGCTGAGTATTTTGACTTTTATTACGTGAACATTAAACGCACGAAGACTCTTCGAAAATGAGAAGCAAGACTTATTATTCTGCCAAATTGCAATTATTTGATTCCAAATAACTTCTTTATGCTCTGCACATCAGTTTGCATTATCGAGAAGCATCTTGAACGGGCGCTCAAGGTTATATGTAGGGAGATGCAGAGAATGGTGTAAAGAGGAAAGCCGTTTGGATGGCCTCAACGTAGGTAAAATGGTTTTTTTTTTCATCACCGAATGCAGTATGGGGTTAAAATCAAGTGGAAACGCACGATGTTATCAATGGATGTCATTTTTGGTAAAGAAATCGGTTATAAGCGCCGATTCATAAAATTGAATCTCATATTTACATTCGAAAGAAGTGCAAGTGCATCTTTCACAGGACGAAATGTTCGATGAAAGTATTAGGCTGGCGGGAATAACCTATCGTGTTTTAAGTACATCATCAGAATTTGAAGATGTTTGATGTGTTTTTCAGCAGTCGAATGGTGTAGATCAATTTCTTTGTAGTTGCAAAGTGGTTAGATTCAGGCTACTCTTCGACATTATCGCCCAGATCGAGGTTCTCTTGCAAAATTGAAATCTTCGGAAATTAGTTCGGTAAGCCATCTTTGGCATATTCGAACATTTACAGCTTTCGTACACAACGTATCACATAAGTTTCTATGGACGAGAGATGCATTGCTTTCTTCCTGGAAGTCATATCCAACGCACAACGAGTTTATCAAATTTTATCGGCGAATGTCGGTAACAAACGGAACGAGCGCAATGACTAAAAGAGTGCAGGAGCCTGAAGTGTTTCTGTTTTTCACGCTTCCAAAGTTCAAACAATGCCTTGAAAGTGTTCTCTTTATTTATACCTACCTAAACTGATCAATTTTTTGAAATCATGGTAAATTGGGTGCAAGCACACAAGCCCACTATTGTCATAGTGACGAATATGATCGTCGTATTCCTATTTTATTTTACTCGTACATTGATTATTCCGTTTATTCTATTCTTCACTGCTTTTTATATTTTATCGATATATTAAATAATTTCATTTTCTAATACTTTAACGCACGCTTTGTTAGTAAGCGTTTCAAAAAAGCGAAGGAAAAAAACAAATAAATTGAAATTCGAATTAAAAAATTTGCGTTTTGTTGTTTCAATCTTTGTATAGTTTTATAATTGTCTTAGCGACCTTGAACAATCAATCTTTATATGACTATTTTCGTATAAATATCCACTCATAAAAATGTGCT